CTGGGCAGGAGAAGTGTTCTGCTGAATCTCCCCCAAAGAGAAAGGCTGCTACCAAGTCTTCAAGAGATGAAGCTACTCATTCGCAGGCAGAGAATGTGTCTCCATTGAGGAAGAAGCCAAGGTTCCCTTATGCTGAGAAGACTCTAATGGGGTCTGCTCCGTCATCATCTTCCAGGGCCAAACATCTCATGGACGCATATAGCACGAAGGTTGGTGGCATGCGAGGTGTTCGGGGTGTTCTGCCCGAGCCTCCTGCTGACTAGCTTGAAAACCATGATCTGCTTCATAAAGCAGTTCGTGCCCAATCTAGTTCTGCCGAGCGTCAAATAGATGCAGACATTCCTCCTCGAAGTTCGAGTCATCTGCATCTGTCAAAAGATGGAGATCGGAGCGGGAGGTTTGCTCATGATCTAGCTGTTGAGTCACGGGCAATCAAGCGTGGAGTTGATTCAGTATCATTGACTCTTTTGGAGGTGAGATTGGCAGTGGCTAAGAAGATGAGAGAGTCATCTGCCTAGGCGAAGGGTTCTTCTTCAGCGTCGGCGGTTGATCCCAAGGCCAACAAGTCTAGCCCTGTAGGGGATGCATGCATGTCTGATCTGCTCAAGACGAACTTCCTATCAAACTCGGCCTCCTGTGCTGAGTTGGTCGATCACATCCGTCAAGCCGGCGATCTTGGCACATTTTCAAGTCTTTCCTTGGAAAAACAAAATGAAGCAACATTTTATCTGCTTCAAAAAGGAGTAGTTCTTGTTGCTGAAACTATCCGAAACTCCTCTGTTGTTGCCCCCTCTTCTGTTGCTGACTTGGTTAGTCGAAAAGATGCCTACTTCCGTCTTGAGCACAAGAATGCTGACGTCTCCTTTAGTCATGACAAGCTTTTGGCTAGATTTGGCGCATATCATAAGTCTGTTGAGAAGTCCAGGTTCTAAGCTACCATGAATGCGTACAAGTTGGGCTACTTAGACTGTTCAAATGGAAATGATCCCTTCTATGCCATTGGAGATGGAGATATCGAGATGCTCTGTTCTGACTTGCTCCATGTGCAAAGTGAGCAGGTTAATGCTGTGAACATGGAAGGAGTTGAAGAGTAGGCGGCCGAAGAAGCGGTAGTTGAAGAGCAGGTGAAGCAGAGGAGGATGCAGCATATGAGGTAATGGCAGACGTCGCGGACCAAGCAGGTGGAGTTGCTGAGAACGTGGCTGATCAGGCGGACGTCGAAGAGGCTGTAGATCAAGGATCTCATGCTGGTGTCTCAGAGTAAATGAAGACTCCTTTATTTCTTTTCATCTTGTAGTCTGCTTTCTTGTTTAGAATAATTGGTCTTGTCTGACCATCTTCTTTTTGTTGAACTTGGTAAGTGCCAGGGTCCCCCTTGAGGGACTCCGGGCATGTTCTGCATATCCTGTAGGATGTTTTCCCTTAGGAAATAGGCGAGGGCCAGGATCCCCCTTGAGGGACTCCGGGCGTGTTCTGCGTATCCCGTAGGATGTTCTTCCCTTAAGAAATTGGCGAGGGCCAGGGTCCCCTTTGAGGGACTTCGGGCGTGTTTTGCGCATCCTGTAGGATGTTTTGGTCGTTGCCCTGCGTCTCCCGAAGGACTCTGCTTATGGGTAACTGTGTGACTATCCTGCCTCCTTTAGGAAACGGATAGGAACCTGGATACCTCCCTTAGGAAATTCATGGCGCACCCTGCGTCTCCCTTAGGACGCTTCTTATGGGCTGCGTCTCCCAAAGGACGCTTTGGTCGTCGCCTTGCGTCTCCCTTAGGACGCTCCTTATGGGCAACTGTGTGACTATCCTGCCTCCTTTAGGAAACGGATAGGAACCTGGATACCTCCCTTAGGAAATTCCTGGCGCACCCTGCGTCTCCTTTAGGACGCTTCTTATGGGATGCGTCTCCCGAAGGACACTTTGGTCGTCGCCCTGCGTCTCCCTAAGGACGCTCCTTATGGGCAACTGTGTGACTATCCTGCCTCCCTTAGGAAACGGATAGGAACCTGGATACCTCCCTTAGGAAATTCCTGGCGCACCCTGCGTCTCCCTTAGGACGCTTCTTATGGGCTGTGTCTCCCAAAGGACGCTTTGGTCGTCGCCCTGCGTCTCCCTTAGGACGCTGCTTATGGGCAACTGTCTTTTGTTGTGGCACATTCTGGAATTTGCAGTAGATGGTTCTCTTCTTCAGAAATGTGCAGGGCTCAGTCATCTGCTTGTCGATGAATTGTGAGCCATTGTCGGTAACTGGTGGTTGTGGGTAGCCAAATCGGCAGATGATGTTTCTCCAGATGAATCGTTCCACATCGGCTTCTTTAGTAGAGGATAGAGCTTCGGCTTCAATCCATTTAGTAAAGTAGTCGGTGGCAACGATCATCATGTCCTTCTTGGCAGGCGCTGGTGTCAAGAGACCCACTAGGTCAATGGCCCATTGCATGAATGGCCATGGATTGTTTTGCGAATGGTAGACTTCGGCAGGCAGGTTAGGAATTGGCTTGTATCGCTGGCAGCGATCACATTTTTTGACATATTCGATGGAGTCGTGGCGCATGATAGGCCAGAAGTAGCCTATGTTTAGAGCCTTCTAGGTGAGTGATATGCCCCCAGAGTGGTTGTCACACTCGCCGTTGTGAATTTTCTAGAGAACCTCAAGTGTTTAAGAGTATTTTATGCAGGTGAGATGAGGGCCGAAGTATGTTCTGCGGATGAGCTTGTTGCCGTGCATGTAGTATCTCGCGGCTTTCTGCTGGACTTTTCTAGCTTCGGACTTTTCCGTTGGTAGATTTCCATTCATTAGGTAGTCGATGATGGGGCCTTGCCAACTGGGGTCCTCGTTAATCTGCATTGTGTCGATTGGCTCTATTTCTTCAATGCTTGGTCGGTCTAGGTGTTTGACCGGGATGGAGCGTCTGAATTGGGTATCTAGCGCGGACCCTAAGCTTGCCAGGACATCTGCATGCGCGTTCTCTGCTCGAGGCACCTGTTGGATAGTGAAGGTAGGAAACGCCTTCAATAGCTCTTGGACTTTGTCAAGATACAAGATCATCCTTAGGTGCTTTGCCATGTATTCACCTGAGGCTTGATTCGTGATCAACTGGGAATCTGAGTAGATGGCTAGCTTCTTGATCGCTAGCTCCTTTGCCAAGCGCAGGCCAGCGAGCAATGCCTTGTATTTTGCCTCGTTGTTTGAGGTTGGGAAACCAAGCCTGATGGCCTGCTCCAATAGGGTCCCATCTGGGGTGATGATGACGACATCTGCTCCCGCTCCTTTTTGGTTCGACGCTCCGTCTACGCGCAATTGCCACATGTCTGTGGGTTGGCCAGGTTCGGCGGATGTGCTATCTGTTTTTGAACTTTCCTTCTTATGGTTGACCAGCTTCTCTTCTTCGGCTGATGAGGTGAATTCTGCCACAAAGTCTGCTAGAGCCTGGGCTTTTATTGCAGTCTTTGGCCGGTAGAGGAGGTCTCATACTAGCTTAGTTCTATAGCCCATTTCATGAGTCGCTGGGAAGCGTCAGGGCTGTGAAGTATTGATCTCAAAGGAAAGTCGGTCATGATGATGACTCTGTGAGCTTGGTAGTAGGGTCGTAACTTTCTCGTTGAAACTACAAGTGCCAAAATAAGCTTTTCCAATTTCGGGTAGCGAGTCTCTGCATCGAGGAGTGCTTTTGACGTGTAGAATACCGGATGTTGGGCCCCTAGTTCTTCTCGAATGAGAGCTGAGCTAACGGCCGAGTTGGACACTGC